CTCTGCGTTTTGTGGGGGATTCTGGGAAGTGGAATTCCAGCTCCAGCAAAGCTGAGGAGCGATAGACACCTCTCCCTTTCCGTTTTGCTGGGCCCTCTCCTCTCGGCCGGAGACCCGGGTCTGGGGCAACTTCGCAGGTTGGAATTAGCTGGAATGCAGCTAATTCAATTCGGTCCACTTCACCAACACTGATTAAGCGCCTCCTGTATGCTGGGGTCAGTAGCAGTGAATCATTGCTACCCCGGCTGTACATTAGAATCATCTGTGGTGCTTTTATTCTTATTAGTTTGTTTTTTATTTTAGTTTAGTTTTTATTTTTTGGCCACGCTGCACGGCTTCTTAGTTCCCTGACCAGGGATCGAACCCGTGTCTCCTGCAGTGGGAGCACGGAGTCTTAACCACTGGACCACCAGGGAAGTCCCTGGGGTGCTTTTTAGAAATGCCGGTGCTGGGACCCACCCCAGGCCACTGGGATCAAGGTCTCTGGGGGCAGGTCTGGGGACAGGTACTTATTAACGTGACTCAGGCAATTATAATGCACAGCCGGGTTGAGGGCAACTGGCCAAAAGTAAGAGAGAAATCTACCCAAATCCTACCCAGGCCACCTCCTCAGTGTCCGCTTCCTCCAGGCCAGCCAGCTGCAGCAGGCCTGTTGCAAGCCAGAGGAAGTCATCAGGAATCTCCCTGGACATGGCAACCTGTGACTGCAATCTCTAATTAATCATCAACAGTGTAATATGATCCTGGCCCATGACAAGGGGACCTGCTGAATCCTTTGGAGACCTGTCCACTGGCCTTCTTCAGACCCAGGCACCAGTGTCCGAGGACCCCAGGCTGATGGGGGCTCAGATCTGCTCCCAGGCTGGTAAGTGGGAGCCCCGCGCTTGGTCCCTGGACCAGGAGTGCAGGAAGCAGAGGGGGTGCTCTGTGTTATTGCTGGGGAAGGAGTCTCGGGAGGCAGAGGTAGAATCAGTGTAAATATCGCTCAGGAGGAGTTTCTGATACAGGCTGGGCTGACCTAGGTAGTGAGCTATTAGGAGGCAGCGAGGTAGCGAACTTCCTTTCCTTGCAAGAATCCAAGAGAGGCTGAGTGACTCGGGTCCAGAATCCCTGCAGTGATGCGACGACCCACATGACCCATTTGCCTTCAGATCCTGTTGTGCAGAGTGAAGAGTGGCTGGGGTGGGAACAGGGTACAGTGTAGGGGGCCTGGTGGAAGACCAGGGGTCCCAGCTCTGCCCCATGGACCTGTGGGACCTTGGGTGAGTCACTTCTCCCTGGGACCTCAGTTTCCTCACCCGCAGGCTGGGGGGCCAAGCAACAGGCCTTGCCGGTTACAGAGCTGCCAGAAGCACGAACCACAAGGTCACCAGGCACCGTGGTTCTCTGCCAGCCTCACCTGAGGCCACAGCGTTCCCGTAGTGTGCGGGGCAGGAGATGGAGAACCGGGTCTTTTACCAGCAGAGAGCCAGCCTGCGCATTCCTGCTTCCAGAGCCTGGGCTCCGCTCCCTCCCAGGCGGCAGGAGACACCGATGCTGCTGCTGCAGTGGCAACTGTTTGGATTCCAGGCGATGATGGTGCCACGAAGGGGGCAGCGCAGGGGTGTGGCCCGGGATCCCTCACTTCTGGCTGCACAAACATCTCCCCGTGCTCCGTTTCCTTAGAGTGCTTCTCTGTGGGGTGGTGGGGAGACTGGAAGGCACTTAGTGGGTGCCCGGTGCCAGGAGAGGCTGGATGGCTGGAGGGGCGGTGATGACAATGAAGACCCAGGGAGGTCCTCACTGCATGGGGGCCTGACCCCAGGTCACTTAGATTCCAAGAGCCTTGCTGCGAAGATTCTCGGATTGGAGTCTACCTGTCCAGCGGGTGGGACATCCAGAGGCCATGACTGTGCTCCCTGCGCCCCAGCAGCCCAGGGAGTCCTCGTTGCCAAGCCCAGTGCACGGTGGGGGAGTGAAGGAGTCAGGCGGCGTGACTGGGGAGGGTCCTCCATGGGCCACGCAGCTTCTGGAGCCTCAGGATGCTGCCTGAAAATGCGGCTGATGAGAAGAACAGCCACCTACGGGCATGAGGAGCTCAGAACCCCCTGCCCAGCCGGCTGGGGACAGGCCTACTTGGAGAGCCACACTTGGCCTGTACCCACCTCTGCCTCTCCCCGGCCCAGGAGCGGGGGGCGGGGGGAGACTGGGTAGCCTGGGTCAAAGAATGGGAGGAGCCCTGCCAGCCTGCCCAGTGGAAGGAGACGCCACCCAGAGCCAACTCCAAACTCAGGCGCAGAGCCCCATGCAAAGCAGAGGAAGGGGCCGCGCAGGCGGAGGCAGTCTTGCAGGCTCTCTGCCCGGCCGGCAGGACAAGGGTGGCTGTCAGTGCCACTCAACCTCGGCCTGTGCAGCTGGGAGAAGGGAGCACAGTCCACTGGCCTCTGGTGTCCTGTGCAGCACTTGTGTCCTCTCAGCCTCCCTCATCTACTTGGTGACATGAGGACATAGCTCCCACAGGCCGATTTCCCTGGCTCCTCTGCTTCCCCCCATGCCCCATCCCACTGTCCCCAGAGCCAATCCTGCCTGCGTCAGCCCCTGTCCACGGCAGCTGTGCGGGGGATTGGGGGGGACTCCATCCACTGACCCCTTGCCGAGGGAGGGGAGTCAGCTGTCGGCCAGGACAGGGTCATCTCCACTGGGTACTGTCTCGGGCCACGAGTGGGGCCTGATGGGTCTCCCGTCGCCCCGACCCGAGGGTGGGCCCCTTTCCCTGCAGGGGCTGCACTGGGTGAGGCTGAGGTGATCCCTGTTTGAAGCCCAGCTCTGCCCTTGCTGCTCACCGCTGTCAGGCCTTGCCGCGTGGTGGCAGGTTGGATGCGGTGGTGTGTGGAGAGGCTGAGGGTCCTGCTCACCACCCACACCGAGCCCACTCCAGGGCTCCCCTCCAGTCCCGACCTCAGGGTTGGGCGGTGACCCAGCCAAGTGAGGGGGGTGGCCCCCACCCTCCAGGGTGGGTTACGGCTGATTACATCAGGACCCCCACCTGCCCCCCGCTCCCAGCCCGATGCCTGTCCAGGTGGGCACTGAAGTCCTCACGTTCAGGATCCCCAGACAAGTGCCTGGAGACTCCAGGCCTGGGCTGTCGGGCACATCATTCCCACTGTGGATGAGGGACCAAACCCAGAGGGGCAGTGACCTGCCTAGGTTCACAGCAGAGCCGCGGCTAGAATCCGGGTGTCGGTCCTCACTGCCCTCCACAGGGTCTCCTGGCTGCCCCAGCAACTTGAGTGGATGCAAGGACAGATCCACCTGATGTCAGGACCCTCAACTCTGGCTTCTGGTCACCATCTGTGCCTTCTCTGGGCCTCCCTTGCTGGTGCACAGCCTGGAGGAGCAAGGGTTGGTGGGCCAACCCTTTGGGAAGGGAGGGAGAGACCAGGGCATTCCAGGAAGGGGTGGTGGCGTGGGCAGGGGCATGGGTGAGGCTGAGGGAGGGGTGAGCTTGGATAGTAGGGTGGGTTCAGAGGCCCCCCAAGCCAGGGTGAGCGCTTTTCCCTCACACGTTGGGTGAGGGAACCATGCCAGGCTTGTCTTTGGCCTTTGGAGGTCAGGGATGGATTCACTGTGACCTTAAGGGTGTCCCTTGTGCCTGACCAGGAGCCTCCCCTCCTTGTGCTGGGCTGGAAACTTGCAGGCATGTGGGTGTCAGAGAGGAGGGCTGGGAGGGAGGGGCCTTGCTCCTTGGGGCTGGGGTCTGGCTCAAGTGTTTTTTTTTTTTGGCTGCATCGGGTCCTCATTGCTGTGCGCGGGTTTTCTCTAGTTGCAGTGAGCGGGGGCTACTCTTTGTTGTGGTGCGCGGGCTTCTCATTGCAGTGGCTTCTCTTGTTGCGGAGCACGGGCTCTAGGTGCACAGGCTTCAGTAATTGTGGTATGTGGCCTCAGTAGTTGTGGCTCGCGGGCTCTAGAGTGCAGGCTCAGTAGTTGTGGCACACGGGCTTAGTTGCTCCGCGGCATGTGGGATCTTCCCGGACCAGGGCTCGAACCTGTGTCCCCTGCATTGGCAGGCGGATTCTTAACCACTGCCTGGCTCAAGTTTTGACTGAATTCACCTCTTTTAATTTTCTATTTCCCTCTTCCAACCCAGAAAGAGCAGGGCCAGGAGGGGAGGAGGAGGGGATGGGGAGAGAGAGATAAGGCCTATGGAGATAAGAGCCGTTCTGGGGGCAGAAAGCTCTGCCAGCTTCCTCCAGGCCTCTGGGGCTGAGAGAAAGAGCTGCCCAGCAAGGAACTTAACCTTCCCGGCTGCCAAGTGGAGTCAGGTCAGGAAATCCCGTGATTTCAAAGCCTACCCAGGACTTGGCTGGGCCCAGCCCACGATTCTGAGGGGCTGACCTGGGACTCCCCCTCTGCAGGCTTTGCCCCCTCACCGGATTGGGAGTTGCCAGGCACCTTCTCTCCCAGGACAAGAAAGTCACCCTCTTTGGGGTCCATGGGCTTCACAAGTCACGCGGGTTCTCTGTGGGAAAATCAGAAAGTCACACAAGCAGAGAGGAAAACACAGCACCAGAGACGACCACACACACAGCATGTCAGTCCAGTTCCTTTCAGGCTGTTTCCAGAAACAGATGAGATATACATGTATATAGTAAACGTATAGGTGTATGTGCCAAAACCAGGGTCATATTCTGTCTACCGTTCTAAAACCTGCTCTTTCTAGTTAACGGCAATAAGAGCCATTACCAGGTATCCAGAGCCGGTGCTGCCATTAAAGGAACTGCGGTTCCTTTAATTTTTACAACATTCCCTACGGGAGGGGAACTGAGGCTTGGGGAGATTCACGAGGGAACTAAGATCCCTGATAGGCAAAGCAGGCTCCTCACTGGTTCTAATGTCGGGGTGGGGAGAGGTGGGGGGTGGGGGTGGGGAGAGGTGGGGGGGAAGAGCGGGCACAGTGGCACCGGGGAGCGAGGGCTGGTGGAAACGCCCCCTCCCCTGGGAGCGGGTGTGTGTGCTGTGATGGCCTTTGCAGCCCGTGGGTCCGGCCCGCCCCGCCCCGCACTGACACCTCCCGCCCCCGCAGACGCCGAGATGCCCCGAGAGGCGCTCCGTTTCCACGCCGAGGCCGTGGGCGCGCAGGTGCGTCTGGACGCGCAGCGGAGCACCGCGCGCAGGCGCGCCACATTCCGTGACGGCATCGTGTTCAGCCAGCGGCCGGTGAGGCCCGGAGAGCGCGTGGAGCTGCGCGTGCTGTGTCACGAGTGCGGCTGGGTTGGCGGCCTCCGCGTGGGCTTCACGCGCCTGGACCCCGAGCGGGTGACCGCGTCCGGCCTACCCCCCTTCGTGTGCCCGGACCTGGAGCAGCAGAGCCCGACGTGGGCGGCCATGCTGCCCGATGGCTGCGGGCTCACCGGGGACGTGGTGCGCTTCTGGGTGAACCGCCTGGGCCGGCTCTTCGCCCAGGTAAACGCGGGCCCCCGGCTCCTGCTGCGTAAGGACGTGCTCATGGGCGCCCCGCTCTGGGCCGTGATGGACGTGTACGGGACCACCAAGGCCATCGAACTGCTGGGTGAGGCCACGGGTGGGGACCCAGGCTCCTCCCCTGGGCGGGAGGAGGTGGAGGCTCGGGCGGTACTTCACCTGCATCCAGAGCCGCGGGGAGAACTGTTGTTTCATTCATATGCAGCCAGTTTTTCCATCAGCTCATGTCAGGGTATGACATGGGGACAAGACCTAGTCATAGGGAGGGCAGCCTCATCTCTGAAGAATGAGAAGACGTGCTCAGCACCCCAAACATCTGTTAGAGGGCTGATCTCTTTCACAAAGGAAGAAATTTGGGGGCTAGGCTTTGCAGTCTAAGTAGGAGTTTGCTGAGACAGGGGTGGCAACAAAGGGAACATAAGTGTGAGAGTTAGAGCAGAGCAGGAAGGCAGCCTGGGGGGCAAAGGTGAGATGTTCAGGCACTGGGTGGGGAAACAAGGACCACCTGAAAGGAGAGAGGATTTCAGGAGAGGGAGGAGATACAGGAACACTCATAAAAAGAAATTCTGGCATTCTGGGCTGGTGTTCCATGGGCCTGCACAAGCTTTCCAGACACCCCCGCGCGTTTGCTTTTCCCACTGCTTGTCACAGCTGCTGGAGCCTCACCTCTGGAGCCCCTGAATTGGTAGGTCTGGAGTGGAGCCCCAAGCACCTGTTTTCCCTCCTGGGGGATTTTGAAGCACATCTGGGTTGGGGACCGTGAATAATGCAGAAGGTCTCCGCTCAAGCAGCGGAAGTAGGGCAGAGGGGAGCTGTCTAAAGGAAGGGTGGATTAGCAGGAGGAACCTGCAGTTCTACAAATCCTCTGCTGGGTTCAACTGGGAAAGGGGCGGCCACACAGGGCTGGGTGACCAGCTTGGAGCTCCAGCATTGCACCCCAGAAAAGAAAGGGGATGGACACTTTGGTTTAGGGGCAGGGGCTGGGGAGGTGGGAGGGAACGAGGACACTCTGACTTTGCTTTCCCCAGGCCCTGACTTTCCCTTTCTGCCTTAGATCCTACAGTCAGCGCCCCGACCCCAGCCATGCCGTGGGTCCTCAGTGATGAGGCTCTGCCTGAGTCCAAAGGTGAGTGGCTTCCCCGAGCCCCAGGGACTCCCCAGGACTCCAGCACTAGGGGAGCTGGGGGAGGCCCCAGCCCTGGGAACTCAGTTAAGTCTTTCCAAGTCCTATCAAGTCTCCCACGGGCTTTAGGCCAGAAAGATTTGGCTCCGCCCCTGGAAACCTAAAAGCAATTTAACAGCTCTGCCTTCTAGAACATTGGCTAACTTCACAAGTTACTGGAGCACATTCATGAACAGATGTTATTTTGTCCGTCTGCTTTTAAAAAAGCAATCCACGTTCATAGTAATTTGCCAAACAGAAATAAAATACGTATTAAAGGATAAAGAAGGAAGTAAAACAAAAACAAAAAAACACCTCCCAAACCTCGCATTACCTGTTACGTGGATTTCCTCCCAGTATTTTGTGGACTTATATATGGGGAGTTATTTGTGCTTTGTTTTCCTTTTTTCTAAAGTGGAATCTTATTATATGTATGTTTGTACCTTATGGTTTTCGTCCCAACCTTTTTCACTTGATTACATTTTCTTACAAGGTAATATTCTTCAGAATCCGACTGCAGAGTTCTCTGTCCCGTGGTTATATCATGAGTGGGCTGCCCACCCCTTGCCCCCAAGCGCCCCTGACCTCTGTTGTCCCCTTTCCCAGCCACAGCAGGAGAGGAGTGTGCCATCTGCTTCCACCAGGCTGCCAACACCTGCCTTGTCCCCTGCGGCCACACACACTTCTGCAGCTGCTGTGCCTGGCGGGTCTTCAGGGACACGGCCAAATGCCCCGTGTGTCGCTGGGAGATTGAGGCGGTGGCTGCAGCTTGGGACCCTCCTGCTCTGGGCCCTGGTGTAGGTGCTCAGCTCTGAGCCCGGCCCCTGCCAAGGGACGAGGTGCAGCTCTGCCCACTTTCTGGAGAAGAGTCAGAAAGGCTGGTTAGCGACAGGTGTGGCGGAGAGATGGAGTCAGGGCCGCAATGGCTCTTCCCCCTCCTCAGCAGGAGGGGACCAGTGGACCAAGGAGGTGCCCCTTTCTGCCCATACCGGAACTACCTCCCTGGTGGGCGTCTGGCTGGAGAAAGTGGCTCAGCAATAGGCCAGCGGGGTTCTCACCCCTCTGCCTAGCTCCACGTTCATTTTTGCCTGCCAAGGGTTTTGGCAGGTCACCTGGTTCAGCCACCATGAACCTAGCAATCCCCGGTACACTGGAGTCCCAGGAACCCACATGTGCCAGTGAGAAGGGCCTTTGTGTAGAGAGGGGGCAGCCTGATCCCTGGTTTTATGGCTAAGGAAGTTAAGGTACCTGCGCGTGTCTGGTGAAGCCCTGCCCACCCCGGGGTATTGAGGAGCCTGGACCAGATGCAGGGAGCATCTGGGTGGAATTTTGTTTATTTATTTATTTTTTTAAATTGAAGTATAGTTGTTATACAGTATTAATAAGTTATAGATGTACAATGTAGAGATTCACAATTTTTAAATGTTATACTCCATTTATAGTTATTATAGAACTATTGGTTGTCTTCCCCCTGTTGTACAGTATATCCTTGTAGCTTATTTTGTACCTAATAGTTTATACCTCTTAATCCTCTACCCCTAAATTGCCCCTCCCTGTTCCCTCTCCCTACTGGTAACCACTAGTTTGTTCTCTATATCTGTGAGTCTGCTTTTTTGTTATATTAACTAATTTGTTGTATTTTTTTAGATTCCATATATAAATGAAATCATACAGTATTTGTCTTTCTCTGTCTGACTTATTTCACTTAGCATTATGTCCTCCAAGTACATCCATTTTGCTGCAAATGGCAAAATACCATTCTTTTTTATGGCCGAGTAGTATTCCATTGTATATGTATACCATAACTTCTTTATCCATTCGTCTGTTAATGGACACTTAGGTTGCTTCCATATCTTGACAATTGTAAATAAGGCTGCTGTGAACATTGGGGTGCATGTATCTTTTCAGTCTGTGTGTGTCTCTGTATCTGAAATAAGTCTCTTGTAAGGCAGCACATATGGGTCTTGTTTTTGTATCCCTCAGCTACTCTATGTCTTTTGGTTGTAAATTTAGTCCATTTACATTTAAGGTAATTATCAATATGTGTTCTTATTGCCATTTTGTTAATTGTTTTGGGTTTGTTTTTGTAGGTCTTTTTTCTTCCTTTCTTCTTGTTTTGTTCTCTTGATATTTGATGACTATCTTTAGTGTTATGTTTGGATTCCTTTTTCTTTTTTGTGTGTATATCTGTTATAGATTTTTGGTTTGTGGTTACCATGATTTTTGGTTTGTGGTTACCATGAGTCCATACATACATACATATATATATATATATATATACACATACATATATATGTATATATATGGTTGTTTCAAGTTGCTGATTGCTTAATTTGAAATACATTTTAGCAGACATAGAGAACAAACGTATGGACACCAAGGGGGGGAAGGGGAGGTGGGATGAATTAGGAGATTGGGATTGACATATATACACTAATATGTATAAAATAGATAACTAATGAGAACCTGCTGTATAGCACAGATAACTCCACTTCACTGTAGAGTAGAAACTAACAAAGCATTGTAAAACAGCTATACCCCAATTAAAAAAAAAAAAAAGAAATGCATTTAAAAAACCCTGCATTTGTACTCTCTTCCCCTCACAATGACTGTTTCTGATGTTGCATTTTGCATATAATTATTTTGTGTATCCCTTAACTACTTATGTGGATAGAGATGATTTTACTACTTTTGTCTTCTAACCTCCCTACTAGCTTTGTGTGTGGATGATTTCCTACCTTTACTGTATGTTTGCCTTTACCAGTGAGCTTCCTCATTTCATAATTTCCTTGTTGCTAGTTGTGGCCTTTTCTTTTTAACCTAGAGAAGTTCCTTTAACATTTGTTGTAGAGCTGGTTTGGTGGTGTTGAACTCTTTTAGCTTTTGCTTGTCTGTAAAGCTTTTGATGTCTCCATTGAATCTGAACGAGAGCCTTGCTGGGTAGAGTACTCTTGGTTGTAGGTTTTTCTCTTTCATTACTTTAAGTGTATCCTGTCACTCCTTCTGGCCTGCAGAGTTTCTGTTGAAATATCAGCTGATAGCCTTATGGGATTTCCCTGTATGTTATTTGTTGCTTTGCCCTTGCTGCTTTTAATATTCTCTGTCTTTAATTTTTGTCATTTTAACTACAGTGTGTCTTGGTTATGTTCCTCTTTGGGTTAATCCTGTATGGAACTCCCTGTGTGTCCTAGACTTGAGTGACTGTTTCCTTTCCCAGGTTAGGGAATTTTTCACCTATTGTGTTTTCAAATATGTTTTCAGCCCCTTTCTCTCTTCCGCTTCTGAGGCCCATATAATGTGAATATTAGTGCATTTGATGTTGTCCTAGAGGGCTCTTAAACTATCCTAATTTCTTTTCATTCTTTTTTCTTTTTTCTGTTCAGTGGCAGTGGTTTCCAGTACTCTGTCTTCCAACTCACTGACCTGTTCCTCTGTATCATTTGGTCTGCTGTTGATTCCTTCTAGTGTATTTTTCTTTTCAGTTGTTGTATTCTTTGTCTCTGTTTGGTTCTTTATATTTTCTAACTCTTTGTTGAAAACCCCTAACTGCTTGTTCTGCGCATCCATTTTTCTCCCGAGGGTTTTGATCGTCTTTACGATCGCCGCTCTGAACTTTTTCTTCAGTAGGTTGCCTCTCTCCATTTTACTTAGTTCTTCTTCTTGGGGTTTTATTTTGTTCCTTCGTCTGGGACGTGTTCTTCTGGTGCCTCACTTTGTCTAAAGTGCTATTTGTATTTTTATGTATGTGGTAGGTTAGTTACATTTCTCGACCTTGGAGAAGTGGCCTCCTGTAGGAGACGTCCTGTGTGTCCCAGCGGTGTACTTCCTCCCCTCTCATCACCCAAGCTATATGTTTTAGGGGTTCCCCCTAAGAGGGCTGTGTGGGTCCTTCCATTGTGGTAGGCTGACTACGTGAGCAGTCTGGTACAGGCTTGGTTGGCCCTGCCCTGTGTGCACGCTGCTGGCTGCTGGTTAGCAAGGCTTGGTCATGCGGCAGCTGGCTGAGGAGCTCCAGGGTGCCCTGGGGCTAGTGTTGGCTCACTGGTGGGCAGAGTTAGCGTCCAGAAGACTCTGGGGTTGTTGCCTGCCCACTGGTGGATGAAGCCAGGTTCTAGGGTTGGTGCTAGACTACTGGCAGGCAGAGCTGGGTCCTGGAGTCTGGCTGCAGAGCCCAGGGATCCTGGAGCTGGTGTCAGATTGCCGGTGGGGTGAGGGAAAGGGCTGGTCCCTGACACAGTTGGGTATGGAGTCCAAGGTGTCCCGAAGCTTGTGTTGGCCTGTAAGTGAGCCAAGATGGCAGCCACCGGCAGCAGTGTTCACGCGGTAGAATGAATGCCCCAAAATATCTGCTGTCAGTGTCTATGTCCCCAGGGTGAGCCACAGCCGCCCCCCTGCCCCCGCCTTTCCAGGAGACTCTCCGAGACCAGCAGGTAGGTCTGGCCCAGGCTCCTATTACATTACTGCTTCTGCCCTGGGTCCCAGCGTGGGTGGGATTTTGCATGCACCCTTTAAGAGCGAGGTCCCTGTTTCCCCCCGTCCTTTGGGACTCTGGAAACTAAGCCCTGCTGGCCTTCAAAGCCAAATGTACTGGGGGCTTGTCTTCTCGGTGCCCGACCCTCAGGCTGGGGATCTTGACATCAGGCTCAGAGCTCTCACTCCTGTGAGAGGAACCTTTGCAGTTCCTCTCCAGCTTGTGGGTTGCCCACCCAAGGGCATGGGACTTGATTATATGGTGAGTCTGCCCCTCCTACCCATCTCAGTATGGCTCCTTCTTTATGTCTTTAGTTGTAGAAGATCTTTTCTGGTAGGTCTGGGCTTTTTCATCAATGGTTGTTCTGTATATAGTTGTGATTTTGGTGTGCTCGTGAGAGGGGATGAGCTCAGGGTCTTTCTACTCTGCCGTCTTGGCCTCTGTCCGCCTGGTAGAATGTTGACAGTCTGTATGGAAGCTGGGTCACTGTAACAAGTCCTCTGTAAAGGCGATCAGCAGCCACCTGCCCCGCCTTCCTTGCAGGGCGGTTGTGAGGTCCCAGTGAGATCGTGCATCTGAAGATGAGTGAGCATGTGAGAGTGCGCTGTTACCATTGGGCTTCTTTCCTTGCCAGTTTCTGAGATATCAAAATAAAGTTTGTCTTTTATGAATGATTTTGTAATGTGTATGTCCCCTCTGTTGCAGTCAGTGGGAGTGAGTAGGGCTGGGGACTGGTCAGGATGCAGGGGCGTGGGGACATGCCTTCCTCTTCTCCAAAGAGACATCCTGGGCTTGCAGTGGACTAGGTGGGGTCTGGACCCTCAGGCCTGTGGACTCTGGACTCTGTGTTGCTGAGCATGTGAAGGGGATAGTCCTACAGCTACAACCGGGCTCTGCCCTTGCCACCCTTGACTTGTGAGGACTTCCTGGAGGCTCTGGCTCTTGAGTGAAGGGAGGAGGTGACCTGGGGACCCCCTCGTCAGCCGGTGTTTGTGGCGGGGGATGGAGGAGGACAAGCCATACCTGTTACTTTGCTCTGGTTCCTGCTTCATGACTGGTGAGGGAGAGAGCTAATAGGGAGTTTGAACCTCTTGTGCCCAAGATCATGATGATGGGCACCTCCACAAACGGCATCCCTGCACCATGGCCAGCCAGAGGGTCAAGACTTTGGGTTAGGTGACCCCAGAATAGCTTTCACTCTGGAGTGGGATCTCCTCTCTGCCACCCTTGAGTGTTCTAACCTTTGTCACGTGAGCCTCAGTTTCTTCATCTGTAAAGTGGAACTAAGATAATTTTCTTTGCTGGTACGTTGTGAGGATAGTGAATGAATGAAACTTGTAGCTTAGAGGAAGTACTCAAAATACGGCAGCTTCCTTTCCCTGGAAAAGGCATCTCCCAGGAGAAGCAGCCAACAGATCACTGGGCTGGCGGTCGGGGTCTGGGGGGTGGTCCCGGCGGCCCCCACATCACCCCAGTATTTTGGAATGATTCCTGAAAAAAGACAACTTTTTTCATCTTTTAAGTGTCTTTTTTTTTTTAATTTTATTTATTTATATTTGGCTGTGTTGGGTCTTCGTTTCTGTGCGAGGGCTTTCTCCAGTTGCGGCGAGCGGGGGCCACTCCTCTTCGCGGTGCGCGGGCCTCTCACTGTCGCGGCCTCTCTTGTTGCGGAGCACAAGCTCCAGACGCGCAGGCTCAGTAGTTGTGGCTCACGGGCCTAGTTGCTCCGTGGCATGTGGGATCTTCCCAGACCAGGGCTCGAACCTGTGTCCCCTGCATTGACAGGCAGATTCTCAACCACTGCGCCACCAGGGAAGCCTGAAGTGTCTTTTTTTTTTTTTTAAAACCCAAATACCTCCAAGGCGAGGGTAGCACTTTAATCCTACTTCCAGCGAATGCCTCCTTATTAGTTAACACCTAGCGAAGCCTTTGAAATGATATAACCAGAGAGGGGACTTCTGGAGTGGTGGCATAAGGACTTCTGTAAAGGCTTTTCTCCATAAAAGCAACAGAAATATTGGCAAGATTATAAAATTCAACGTTTCCAGAGCTCTGGATGTTAACCAAAGGCTAACAAGGTTTATCGAAGAGAATTTACTCA